GATTCTAAGGTGTTTAGCAAGAGTTCCTAACGTATTCTAAGCATAAGGAAAGGATACTTAAAATTTTGGAGGCTAAAAATGGTTCACAGCCACCAAGAACAAGTGTGTGTTCTTGGTGAAAGATAAATATATTGAAGATCTACCCAAAAAGATGATTTCCATGGATGAAATCAAAGGGTGATACATGATTAAGAAGGATAACAACTCAAAGATGGAAGAAACACTTACGTTTTTGAAGATCTAGGATGAAGAACTCGATGATACTTCGGAGAGAATCCGATTTCTAGACTTGGGAATGAGAGAAATGACTAGAAAATGAAGGATACTCTACATATGGGGAAGAGTGTACGGCCGTACACCCATGTGTACGGTCGTACACTCCCTTTAATGGAGTGTTCAGCTCGATTTCAACGCGAAGAACTTTAGCAACTCGATCATATACCCAATGCTTGAATGTACTGAGCTTTGAACCCTTAAACAGACTCTAAACAATGCTAAAAGATAGCAGAAACAAGTCTGACACACGGTTGAATTGAATGGCTGGACTTACAAGGCAAAAAATTTCGGGTTGTCACATGAAACATGTTGGCTTCACAATCTTGTCCGGGAACTCCACTGCTCGTTGACCAAGGCTACTATTGTTTATTGTGACAATGTCAACGCATTGTATTTATCGACTAATCCCGTGCAACACCAACGAACCAAGCACATCGAGATAGATATACACTTTCTTCGGGATAAAGTCGCTACTGGGCAAGTCCGCGTCCTTCATGTCTCTTCCAGCCTTCAGTACGCGGACATATTCACTAAGGGACTTCCACCATCGCTTTTCACGGAGTTCAGATCCAGTTTGAGAGTCCGATCTCGATCTCCCGCTCATACTGTGTGGGCGTATTAGTGTATATTATCTATGTATTTTTTATGTTGTATAAGTAGTCCCCTTAGCCTAGCCCATTTATATATATATATATATATATATATATATATATATATATATATATATATATGAGTAAATTACTGAATTCGTCCCTGTGGTTTGGGTAAAATTATGTGTTTGGTCCCTAACGTTTGTTTTGCACTCGGACCGTCCCTGTATTTTCTTTTTGTTTCAGTTATAGTCCTCGACCGATTTAAAATGACTATATTGTCCTTGTATTTTTCTTTTTTAATTAATCTTTTTTTATTTATTTACAATTAATCAATAAAAACAAATGGTTTATTAAGAATATGGCTCACCATCGTACCTTCAAGCAACAACCCACAAACCCTTAACCTCCCAATCGGCCTCTCTTCCCAGTTCCCAATTCCCACCACCATCTCTCTTTGTCTCTACTCCTCTCTCTCGCCGGAAATTCTCGCCAGAAATCGCAGCGGTCGCCATCAAAAACCATCCACCGCCTTATGTCTCCCTCTCTTACCGTTGAACTCGCTGGAAGATCTCACTTCCCAAACCTGAAGTAACCCTAAGAATCTGATGCGCACCAGAAAGCCCATCACCGAAAATCGATTTCTTCATGTATTCATCACTTTCATCTTCTTTTCTCATGTATTGTTATACAATGGGGTTTTGATTTCACACGAAATCGATTTTTTAAATCAATTTATCACTTGGATGTGTTTTAGCTTAAGTTTGCATCAGGCTTGCTCGAGTATTTTCTGAAGTCAATTTCTCACTTCATCGATCAATTTCTCGCTTGATTTTCTAAAATCGATTTTTTGAAATCGATTTTTTCCATCAGGCATGTTTGATGTGCATCATAGGGTTTTTTTTTGGAAAATTGCATCAAGTTTGATTTTGTTTACATCAGGATTGCCTCAGGTTTGTTTTAGGTTTGTATTACGTTTGCTTCATTCAAGATTTTTCTGTATTAATTTTGTTGAAATTGGAAGCTCGCATCATGTTTGTTTTTCCTGGTTCATCAAATTTTCAAGTTCATGTTTGCTTTTGGTTTCACGATTTGGTGCCGGTGGTGGTTATTAAGGTTACCGGTGGTGGCGACCGGCAGAAAAGAAAGATGGGGCAACGCAGTAAGTTGCCAACGGTGGTTATGGATTTCACAGGTGCATTTTGAACATGTTAATATATGTGTAGTTGTACATCAGCTTAAAGAGGTTGTACCCTTGTTAATCTTATTACATTAAAAGATATATATTAATATTAAAAATTATAAAAATACATAAAAACATTGATCAAGGGTAGTATAGTCATTTTAAGTTGATCAAGGACCAAAAACGAAACAAAAACAAACCACAAGGACTGTCCGAGTGCAAAACAAATGTTAGGGATCAAACGTATAATTTTATCCAAACCATAGGGACGATTTCAGTAATTTACTATA